ATACATCGGCAAGCGGTTGGCAAGTGTATCTTCTCGAACTATCCATATAAGTGGTACAGAACAAAAAGGTTCCTGCATAAGGCTGCATAAATATAAACCTCACTAATCATAGTATCTCAATTCTCAAACTTTTAAGCACATGAAAACAATAGGACTCAGAAAGAAAAGTATTCTCATCAGCACATGCACACTCATGATCTTACCTTACCTTTTAATCACAGTTTCTTTTACACGTTACAAGCTCACACATAAACTAGAATGTATTGTTTCTCTGAAACTCTTACTGCCTCCTCCATTTCAATGTGTTATGTTACCGAAAACATAGAAAATGTTGTTTTTATTTATAGGTTCTTATTGGAATCATGAGCATTTATCATAGTTTTTTATTTAGTTCTTTTTCCAATTTCTTATATGCAGAAAGGTAACCTTTCCCTACAAGTCACAGCTGATTACATCTCTATAAAATAGCTGTTTAAATCAAACTACCGAACAGTGCTCTTTCGTTAAGTTTATAAATTTCTTTTTTGTTTTTACTACAAACATATTTGGGTAATTGTACTTTGAAAGTTAAGTTTCCCACCTAGAGTGACTTGCATTTTAATTCATCTTCAACTGTTATTTCACTTGTGAAAAATGAATTGAACTTAGTAGACTCGATCTTTGTAAGCCACCTGTTTCAGTACTAGTTTTTATTTATTTATTTATTTTGAGTTCAATAATGTGAAGATGGTGATTTAAACATTTGACTACTAGAGACGTATAATAATTTAACCTCGTAAGCTATGCTCAGATTTGCTAGTGTGTAAACAACAGTGAACTTATCTATTAATCTAAATCCACTAGGATGTATTCTTGATATATATTATGAAAAAAAACTAACACAAAATTTAGCAAGGAAGAGGTAGACTCTACCCCAACTATAACCGTTTATTAAAAAAAAAAAAAAAAAAAAGAAGTTCGCACTATATTGCATGCCCATAGTCTGTAGTCATTCATAAAGCACATCACAAATACCGTTAGGCCAAGAACCATTGACCTCATTGCAAGTATAAACAAAGATTACTTTACATAGTTAAAGATTTCACAAGATACTTTATGCTATAAAGAGGGGAAAAAAAAACCTTGCAATTGCTCCCTCTGCTTCCAAGGAGTCAGCAATAATACCATCATATCTGTCGAAAAAATGAAAATAGAATCAACCATTTCTGCCAAGAAATTGAAATGTAGTCCCAGAGACTTCTTAAAAGTCAGAAACGAAAAATCAACAAGGAGAACATATAAAATAAAGAATAGTAACAAAACATTCTAACAAACAAAAAGGAAGCATATACATTGACCAATCAACATGACCATAATGCTCTGGACTTAATATTGAAGGCTGGCCACCGATCTGTTTCCACATTGAATGCTCATTTCCACTCTCTACTGCAAAAATCTGTCAGATAGACCTTAATGAGGATCCAAATGAAATAATTGTAACCATAAGTTAAAGCATCTTTAAATACTTACTAGAACGAATCATGAACAACTGCATAAATCTACAAGAAAATCCATGCACCATATATGTACTGGAAAATGGAAACATAGTACTACAACACTGGACAAACGAAGGCAACTCTACAACTTCTACTGTCTTACGTAAAATAAAAATCCGAACAAAACATCTTTTTTGTAGGAATCACCAAAAAATAAAATAAAAAACAATAACTCACCTCAAGTACATATCCAAGTTTCTGTATGTTCTTCATCACAGTAATCAACATTAATGATTGTGGATTGCTCTCCATGCTTCCTAAGATCTGGTATCAGTGAAAGAATAAGGATAAAAGAAAGAAAGAAAAAAAAAATTGGTACATGACTTAATCCCTTGATGAATCCAGATTCAGAAATTGTTAGTTCTTAAGCAGTCTAGAGTAAAATTAGAAATCATAGATAAGCTGAATTTTTAGATTAAAACATCATTTTAGTCCCAGTACTTTCAAATGTTCAATTTTAGTCCTATACTTTCAAATGTCCAAATTTAGTCCTTGTACTAAATCATGAAATGAGTCCTTATTGGTACTTTCATACAGATTGCAAACAGGACATTGTTCAACTTCTGAGTGTGCAACTGTTTAAGGCCGAGGCCAAAGAGTCCTATGGACCAGTGCCATTAAAGCCGTTCATTGGGTTTTTGGATAGAGAAGATTAGAATCTTGATGTGCATCATATTCAAAGAAAAAAGTGAGAGCAAGCACAAAGAGCTACAAAGTCAATTACAAACACTAGACCAACCCAAGAGGACCAGCTTCTCTCTTACTATTCCCTAACCAAAATTCTGCCTACGTCACGCATAGCACCACCCCCGAACATATACACTCATTCCATAGGATTTCCTAACTCTCGCTACATTTCTCCTTTAACCCCTCCTAATATACATTTTTACTGTCGGCAGCCCAATATGTTGGCATCAAACAAAAAATTAAGAAAAATCACAAAAAAAAAACATCATTTTCAAAAGGCCTATTAAATCATGAAAATGTTAAAAGCGCTACTTTCTCTGTTTTAAAATGCTATTGTATTAATTTTCGTAGGGTAGTTTTGATAATATGAAAGAACTTTACTCAATATTCTGAACTATTCTTCCATGTTTTTTCTCAATGAAAGCTCGATTTCTTATTAGAAAATAATTCAATGGAAATTAAGTTAAGCTAATTGTTAAATTTTCATGATCAAATACCTGACACTTTTGGTATTGTGAGAACTGCTGTGTTGTTGCAATTATGCGCATTCCTAAATTGTAACGAGTCTCTACGAACAATTTTATTTTACTTTCAATGTTTTCATAAACTCGTTTGTCAAAAATTAGACAGATCCTTAGAACTTGAATACATACTCCAAGTGGATGAAAGTTATTGAACCCAAGTCATGGAAGAGGACCTATATGAGTGCCATTGGGTGGTGATACAGAATCCAAATAAATGGTTTGAAGCTAATCTACTTCGCAGGATTGAACTAACGTGTGATGGGAAATGTGTATTGATTTATACAAATCAACTGATAGAAATCTACAGAATTCTCTCCCAATCTAGTTTTGACAAGACTTCCATTGGTGAGACAGTGCGCATAGCCAATCAGAAACGAAATGCAATGAACTAAGTGGCATGTGCCAAATCTTGATAGCTATAGTCAGCGAATCGAACGCAAGTAGTTTCAAACAGCAGTAAAAGAAAACTAATACTCACTAGAGCAAGCCTGGGTGCACGAACGCCAACACGATCCTTCTTCCGCACCTCATCGAGCCCAACACCTTCCACCAGCCTCCTCGAAATCCTCCCCGGAAAAAACTTCAGCGAGCTCCCAAACTTAATACGCTCCATAAGCCACCGCCCCCTTTCACTTCCAGGGCTAGACATCAAACTAATGGAGCTCTGCAACAACATAGAACCGGAAACAAAGGCAAATACTGCAAAAACAACGACAAAGTAGAAAAACGTTTGTCCTCTAGCCGGAAGCCACCAGAGCAAGCCCTTGCGATTGATCCGACTCTGGTGAGATCGGGAGCGAGGAGTTGCATGATCCAGTGAGTCCTTGGCTCGCAAACGGAAGTGACTGGAATTCCGCTTGAAAGGAAAACGATCACGAATCGAGTGAAGGACGGGGACGGCATTTCCACTCCCATTGTCGTCGATCTCTGTAGATGAACTCCGTCTCATTCAGAAGATCCTGTGCTCCAAATCTTTACGCAGAACGTGATGAACAACGGATTTGCAAGAATTGAAGAGAAGAGTTTGGAGAATGGATTAGAAATGATGTGAAACTCAGATTTCAATTGCCCATCACTGCCATGACTTCCGCTTTAGAACACGACAAATGCAAAATTACAAAATTACAACAACTTTTCACATAAAATAGATTTTTTGCCAAGTCGGCCAATTTTACATTTATTTATTTTAAATAAATAAATAAATTTATTTATTTATTTATTCCATTACTTTATTTTATTGCGTCATTAAGTCTTTTTTAAATTACTTTTTTTTTGTTTGTTGGTTATATATCACGAAATTTCGTACTTTTTTCTTCTTTAACGCGGTTTTTGACTACCTGTCTCAACAAATATATAAATAAATAAATAAAATAAAATAAAAATATACACGTGGATATTCTTGTATTATTAACTAAATACTAAATTAATAAAAAAATAACAAATTGGACTCTCCATAATGGTATGATATTGTCCACTTTGAGTATAAAGTCTCATGACTTTGCTTTGGGCTTCCCAAAAGGCCTCGTACCAATTGAGATAATATTCATTGATTATAAAACTCATGATTATTCCCTAAATTAGTCGATGTGGGACTTTCATCATCTAACAACCTTATTTTACCCAACTTTTTCCTCCCGACTCAGTGGAGCTACAAGTTGCAGTAGTCATACTGCGAAGCCTCCCCTTCCTCATTTCTATAGACCAAGCAGCTCAGTGTTTCCTCTTTCTTGGACCGGCACTTGCGAGGAACTATGGAAACCTCACCTACAATTTCGGTTATTTTACTTTCATTATGGGTGTTCGTCCTCTATTATCTTAAAAGGATTTAAAAACGGGCGCTCATATGGGATCATAATAAAATCGATTAAGGACAACACCCTCCTCCGCCGAAAGACGTTCTTACAAAGGTGGCACAAGATGACCGAGCAAACCTTTTCAAGGGGAGCTCCCTCCGGACCGAAGCCCCTTATTCCGCTCGATAATTACTTGAGTTATTTTCTTAAAATCAAACTTATTTTATTTCATTTTTCTATGTCACGATTTTAAATATTTATAATAAAACATTTGAGGTTCTAATTAAATTCAAAACACCGACAAATAATTTTAACATTTATTGAATAAAATAAAAGAAAATAAAATCGATTAATCCACACCGTTTTGGGCCGGCCAGAACGAGAGGGCCCATTAAGAAACTCGGACGGCCCGGTCCATCAAATATCAATAACAAAGGGACATAGATTTCAACAAAATTACATCCATCTCCCACGCGCGCCATTCAACCCCACCGGCCATTCGTGTTGGAAGCTTGCAGAAGGGCACCCTGGCTTGCTCCCTGTAACTCGTCTGTAGGGTTTTAGACCTCTTCCATCCGCCATTCTTCTTCTACGCGCGCTTTACCAGACTCGAGGTACTGTTCTCTCATCTCATGCACTTTCGTCTTACTCTTACACTGCAATTCTGATATTCTTGGCTCTCTCTCCTTCAATGGCGATTTTATTTTTCTCTGTATAAGTTTATCATTTCCTCTCATGGCTGCTGGAAAGTTTTTCGTCAATGTGTTCTTTTCTTTTGGTTGTTTTGTTATCTAGGTTGTTCTTACAGGAGCTTCTTTCTCCAAGTTTATTATAGCATCTGGTTCTTGGAAACTTGTATAGACATGAGCCGTTGATTGTGGTTAATTGCGTGGCGTTTTGGTTGCCCTGGGTTTTTTTATCCTAATTTTACTTTTTTTTTTTTTTTTTTTTTTTTT